TGTTTACGGTTGATCTTATGGCTCTCTTTCCACCTGCCAATAACTACTGTCTATGTCAATCGTAGTAAAATATTTCGCTCCACTCAGGGCATCCAGTATATCGCCTATCTGCGGATACGGCGAAGTATCTGTTCTGATAATACTATTCAGTCTGCGGTAGTCAACGCAGAACCTGGTGGAACTGTTCTTATTCTCATTCGGTACAAAAACAACTGGGGCAGACCAGCGCCATAAGTCGGAGTGATCACTTTGTTCTTGAACATGCCATCAACCAATCGTTTCGCTTCCCATCGATGGTAGTACGGCAGCGATCGATATGAAAGCTTGATCGGTTGCAATCCTCCTGTATCTGCAGAATGCTTTATGAGTGATACACTGCCTACGTCATCATGTGGCGTTACTACGATGTCTTTCAATTCCCAAAGTAAATTTGAAAGATTTGCCCCTTCCGCAGAACCTATTCCACTTTCACAGGCAGCATCTTATCGATCACTCGTTCGTAGCACTCTGCCGATGGATGCTGGAAACGGTTATCACTGGTTTCTGCTACACTGGCAATTGGAACTTGTAGAGGAATCGAACTGAATGTACCTAAAGTCAAACCTTTGTAGTGGTGGACTGGAACTTCTCCTGGATTCAACATTACAGATTTCGGATAACATTTAAGGAACGCGCAGCGCATAATGAATATTAATATTTTGAAGCTAACTCTGTGCCAATCTTGATAATTCCTTCACATCGTTCGCTGCTTTCCACACAGGACCTCCTGATGCTAACTTCGTTAAATAGAGGTATAACTATGCCATTTGCTGGAGGCACTCTCTGAGGCCCTTGGCTTAAAGTCTTCTGAACGGTCTTTGAGGCGAGCTGCACGAATTTTTCGTCGACTTGCAGTAGGCTTCCCTCCGTATTAATGACATAACCATGCCGCCAGAGAAAATCCGCTCCGATGAGGCAAGGGTGTGTCAGCTGATGGACAATCAACACTCTGTGCTCCCTCATGAAATATTTTCCCCAAGGGTTATTTTCACTTAGGCGGTCCCCAGTAAGCACAATTGTTGGCCTGCAGCTGTATTCACACGGAAGTTAGCTCTAGTGAGCCAGTAAATTTTTCCAGCTTCCAGAAGGGCTGAAGTTGACGTTTCTCGATTCGCCCAGTAACTCGCAGTTTGAAGAACAGTGACTTGCAGAGTGGCCGCGGCTGTCGCAGATGTAACTCGCATTCCTGAATGGGCTGAATGAAAATTCTGGCCACATCTCCGTCTCTCTTGGGTTACTCATAAATCCTCTAGCATCTAATCTGACCCGAATTACAGCCTGCAACAGGCTGCGAAATGACTACCAATTTCTCTGTACTTGCATCTCGAGTAGCTGAGATCGCATCGCAGTCGAACCTCACTTGAGACGGTTCTGTTGGGCTCGTCGAACTGGAACTCGTCAAGGGT